AACGGGCTGATCCCGAGCCCGGCGCACAGCGCCCACTGTAGCCTCTACCGGACGCGGACCTTGCAGGCGCTCAGCTCGGAGAAGAAGGCCCGGAAAGCCCGCTTCTACCGCAACGGGGACAGGTACTTCAAGGGTTTGGTGTACGCTATCTCCAGTGACCGCTTCCGCTCCTTCGACGCCCTCCTGGTCGAGCTCACCCGGTCTCTGTCGGACAACGTGAACCTGCCGCAGGGTGTCCGCACCATCTACACCATCGATGGCAGCAAGAAACTCACCAGTCTGGATGAGCTGGTGGAAGGTGAGTGGGTTCCAGTGGGCTGGGGTGAAGCAGGGCGCAGGCCATGGGTGGTTCTGCCCTGGCATGTTGAGGTTCCGTAAGAGGTGGCGTGGGGCCTGGTCGTGGGCTGCAGGCTCTCCCTGGGGTGGGCTTTCCTCTCGTGACCCTGATCAAAGCTGAGAGAGGTGGCCTTGCTGAAAATCGGCAGCCATGGAGCCCCTGAGAGCAAGTGGGTCGGGGCTGCCTGCTGCTCTGAGGTGCCATAGGCCTCATTTTCCCAGTGTGGACTATCTGCTTCTCTTGTCACCCAGACAAGCGTGTGGGTTGACTCTAATGGTAGTTAAGCAGCAGGTACTCTTTTCATTTACAGCAACCATAGTAAAGTTCTTGGCTACCTTTCAATCACCATTTGGGAGAGAGGAAAACGCTGTAAGTTAGTTCTCTGACAGGTATTACACTGTTGTTGATGCCTCACAGTGGTTTAAGCTTTCCAAGAGAAAACCCCTGTGCTGTGAAAAGGGATATTTATACCCTACCACTTACTAAAACCAACTGGTGTAAAGCCACATTTTCAAATGTAATCAGAGTCCATATTCCCAGAGGGAATTATCTACCTTGTCTGACTTCCAAAAGCATTTTATAGAATCAAATGTTTTACAGAATTGTCCCTAAGTAGCTTTTGGTAATGGGACTTAGCTGCTAAGGTTATGTAGACCTTGCAAATCTGAGCAGAGCAGCGCTTGACTATTTCTCAAAATGGGGCCAGAAGTACTTTTTTCTGAATAAAACATATGCATCTTGTTTGTAGGGAATGATAATTACTAGAACAAGGAGCAGACTTCCCCCATGTTCTCTCATGATGTCTTAAAATACAGTTTAAACTCAGCATTACATGAACCAGACTTTCAGATGTATTGGTTATGTTGTGCACACTCTGATGTTCATAATAATTTTGTACTTGATGCTTCTGCTCAAGTATCTAACACATCAACCTCTGCAGTCTTCCACCCAGTTACTCTATATGTCAGGTGTAGCTGATTTGCATTAATGAAGAAGTACGATTTGTAGGTCTTCTAATGCATCCTCCTTTTCAGGCTTTCAGCTGTGTATCCTTTTAGCTTTGATTTGGAAACTTCCCTTTTCAAAGCAATGCTGAATCACATCTGGAAAATGTGATGAGAAAGGGAACCTGAAGACCTTTATATAAATCCACCAGTAAAGGTACTGGGAGTTAGGGACTGACCACTCCAGAACATGCAAAAGAAAGGGAGAAGCTACAGCATTTGCTGCATCAAAGGGGTGTTACTCAAAAAAGCTATGCATGAAAGTGCACTTTATAATAGTAACATAGTGCCTGAGGACTTTCCCAATCATGTGGTCTACCATAAGACTGTTCCACAGTCAAACCAGAGGAAATGTGAAATGATTGCAGAATGAAATGCCTACTCTGTGCTGATAAAACAAATGTAAAATCAGCCAAAAAGTTTTCCATTATTTGGTGATTAATTTAGAGATAGCTAAAAAAATGAGATGCTGGAATGGGGGTGGTAGGGAAAGGACATGAAGCAAAAATTGGATAAACTAATGATAACTTGGGGTAACTTTTGAAATATTGCAGAAGGAATGATCTTAAGCTTTTATGGCTTGTAACAAAACAAGGACAAAATGACTTGCTGGACAACAGTATAAATGCAGTGTATACTCTCACAGTTCTATTTAAGTTAGTAACTGAAAGCAAAAACGTATTTCCTGTCACTTCAAGTACTCATTGAAAGAGTGACCTTTGTCATTCCTCTTCACTGGAAGAATAAAGCAAAACAAATGTCACAATTGAAATGCCACTTCCATGCTTTCTCAGTAAAATAAGAGGGGGGGCAGGGGGAAGAGTCCCAATTACTTCGTCATCTATCCATGACCAATACAACTCTCAGGAATCTTAAGAAAATCCTGTAGCATCGTAATTGGATTAGTATGTTCTCCAATTAGCATGCCAAAAACTTTACCAGTGTCAGTCTAATCACTATACAGAGAAAGGAAAGCATATACAGGGGCGGGAGGAAAACAAACAAGTAGTGAATCCATCATTCCTTGAAATTCTCTGAGCTCTTTGCCAGATGGTTTATTCTTGAGATGCTAGAAGAGGATCTGATTTGTTTTTATTTTCTTTATTTCTTCCAGCACAGCAAGCTTGAATTTCTGCTGTAGAGTAAATACTTGAACATTGGTGATATCCTAAAGCTTGAACTGCAGTAGCACCAGAAGTAGTTTTGAATGCTGTTTTGTTGTATTGCTTTTTAATTTTCAGAAAGGAAAATAAAATTAAAGTGCTGTTGTGCATGCCAGCTACAGGATGAACACCAGAGCAAACATGGCTGCTTGATGCGATACCTGACTAGTCTGTTTGCACACCATCAGTGTTGCTGAACTGGTACATGGAATCGCACCAGTTCAGATTCAGTAGTGGCAGCACTATGAGCTTAGCAGAGGGTGAGTGCTCAGCCATCCTAGCCAAGCTGGCAAGATCTGCATTAAACCTTCCTCAACTTGAGCCTGTGTGTGTAGCTCTGGGACATTGACGTGCCCCAGTGCAAGTAAGCTCTTTAAGGCCTATGTGCTATTTATCGGGTTAATAGCTGTCTGAGGATATCAAATTGGTATTGGCTGGCAGCATCAAATTCTTTATCATAATAGTCCAAACTAGCTGAAGTTTGTCGCTGAGGAAGGCTTTTTGGGGTTTGGCTGTATTTGGTAATCTGTTTTACCATTTATCATTTTAAGAGGAAAATAGCTAATGCACAGACAGACTGTAGATTACAAATATTACTGTTGCAGGTTGAGTCAGTTAAAAATTTGACCAGATCATGTTTATTAGTCAAAAATTGGCAAGCTCCATTTTAGGCATATTGCTTTTCTTAACTGGATATGACAGTCAAAAAAAACATGCTTTGCTGGACCAGCCTTAGGCAAACTGTTTATATTTCCAGCCCCTGTAGATTAGGGAACATTATAGCTCATGAATCAAAATCATTGTCTGCTCCTGATTTTGTTTGAGCAGACAGATCACAGAATCTGTGATTCTGTGATTCTGTGATCCAGATAGGGGATTGGGGTTGGGAATATTATTACTTTCTTGTAGGTTTTTTTCTTTCAACTTTACTATCAGACATTACACTGCATTTTACTTTTGAATAGGAGATTCCAGTGTAATTTTATATTTCCCCTTCAACAGCAATCATGGAGTAATAGTTTCATTTTTATTCTCTACCAAAGTTAACTAATTAAGTGTTTTTGTAAATCCTTCAGTTTTCTTTTAAAAATGTAAGCTTCCTAAAGCATGACACAATGGTAATAGTAAGAACAGTGAAGCTCTTTAGTGCTGAAGTTTGACATTGATGTCAGTCATGCTCTGTCTTGCTATCCTGTGCCTTTATTGTCTTGGTAGTGAAAGACATGGAGAATCCTGATTGTTAAGGTCTTCTGCAAAGTTGGGAGACATTGTTGGATTTTGGGATGGGAAACCAAGTGTAAGACTCTGTTCCAGGCAAGAAAAGTTATGTTGATTTGGCATGTGATAGGGAATTTTTCTAGTTCCCTAGGTAGGAAGCATTGCTAAGAGTCTTTGTTCTTTCAATTTACAATGCTTAATTAATGCAGTCCTTTATAAAATGTCAGTAGTTTTGTCTGCACAGACAATCAATAGGCACCTTTAGGGCAGTCTTTGGGCAGGAGGTGGGAATGTTCTGAGCAAGGCAGTCTCTATGCATGGCTAGGACATGTAGCACAGGATGATACCTGCTTTAAAGAAATGGGCTCTTCCGTACTAATACAGAGTAAAAGAATGTTTTTGAAACGAGGTATTGAACAATCCAAGTATTTTCTGCCTTAGATCATTGTTATTGTTACTGCATATTGCACTTTAATCCTGCTTAAGTACCTGTAATTCTAGTCAATGCACACTGTTATATTAGGCCAAGAATCTCTTTTCTCTTGTCAGGGCAAGCAGATGGTAACACCGAGTAGGCAGTTTGTATTTTTGCTTCTTCCAAAGCTTATGAATACCTTCCTGTGCTAAAGCTAAAAGCTGCAATGCTTTAGAAAGAGGCAAATGTAGCAGGTTTAACAAAGAAGGAAGGATTAAAAAAAACCCAAAACATGAAAAGTGTATCCTTCCAAATATATGTTCAAGTCACTGTGGTTACGCAGTCCTGGAGCAATGGGGTGTGGATGTGAAATACGGATGTAATTGTTAGTTAACTTCCTATCCAAGCAACATAAAGTAATTCCACCACTGTGCCTCTCCTAGTTTCAGGGACGGGAGAAATGAAATTTACCTGGAAAGAGTTATTTATGTACTGTGGAGGAGGCATGTGGTATTAGGCAGGTTTGATACCAGGTGGCCTTAACTGTCTTCTGAAAGCTTTTACCCTGCCTGAGCAGGGGGTTGGACCAGATGACCTCCAGCAGTCCTTTTCAACCTTGCTGTTCTGTGCAAGTTTGTAGGAAGCTGTCATCTGAACATCCTGACTAAATAAAGTCAAAAGAGAACCAGGAGCAATTAGTCATCTGCTAAAATCCTGGTTGTCATCCCAGATTTTAAAAAGTGCATGGAGAACTTAAAATGCTGTAAATGAGGAAAGATCGTGACTTATTGGAGGTGACATGAAAGTGAAGGAATCATAAGTAACTGATAAGGAAGGAAGTTCTGTGAAAGAAAGGAAGGAGAAATCTAAATAACCTAATTCTTCATAAAAGGCGTGGTTTTATTTTTAGATCAGTCCTTTTATACATGCTGTAAATACACTGTTCTGGAAATCTGCTCAGCTTTCTGTTACAGAACTGTATCACTCTCCTGTGATTCCTAAAGTTAGAAGGTTAGTAGCCCTAGTAACTACTGTGCTATACTGAATAAGCAGTTTTTGGCACCTTTGAAACTAATGAGTTCTACCAAAAGAAGCGGAGGAACGTGAGATGGATAGATGAAACATACCTAGAAACCTGCCCTGTCCTATGTGCTTCACAGG